TACATGATATTACAATATCTACTTTAGAAATAAAAACAAAATAATAACCGTAAAAGTCTGAAATATTTCTACAATAATAACCATAAGATTCCATATCTATTTCTACGTACAAATAATTGGACAGAGTATACATCATAAAACTGTGAAGCAAACGCACACATGGGCTTTCAAAAGGATTTCAAACCAATCCCTCTTTGCTGTAGCGAGTGCACAAAATATACAAATCTTGACACCACAATAAACACCAACCCCTTTGCCCTGCCTTGCTTTCCCCACGATGCTGGTGTATGCATGGGGTGAAACTGAGAGCCCCTTAGCGGGTGCCAGGTCCTCAGTCCTGCACATGGCTTCTCTTCTGAACCAGGTCACCTTATTCTTTTCCCACTGTGCTCAGTGCTCTCCTCTCTCTGTCTCTCCAATGGCCAGTGACAGGCCCTCCCTTACAACCTGGCAATGCTGATAGATGGACTGAACTCTGACCGGTTGTGGGTTAGTTTGTACCATTGCCATTGGCACAAACGGGGAATGATTCAAATCCCAGCTGGGAACAGCTAAAGCCCAATAAACCTGTGAGTGTTTAAGGTGTCAAGACTCCCCATTGTTTGTGCAGACTCAGGCTAACACAGTGATGCCCCTGAGACTTGTTCCCACTCAAGTCACTTGGACTTTCCAAACTGATTCCAGCGGGAGCCAGATCAGGCAACAGGAGGACTATTGGTGGCTGACAGCAGCAAATGAGCCCTGGGGATCCACACACCTTTTTGGAATGTGGGGAAATCTCCATGCCCAGAAAGGGTCTCCCAGGCTGGCTGCTGAAGGGATTTAAACAGCCATCTCCATTGGGTTTCTGCTGGGGGCGTTTCTGTCTTCTCCACAATCTGCCTGCTCTTCAAAAACCCTCTGGAGTGCAAGTTTGAGAGACCCACGGAATCGCCGCTTCCTGTAGCTCCCGACTAGAAAATAGATGACTGGGTTGATGCTGCTGCTTGCACAGGCCAGCACATGTAATATCTCAGAGGGCACAGGTATGTGCAGGTAGGTGAGGAAAAACTCAACGCTCGGTGGGATAGTGAAGAGGAGGAAGAAGAGGACGGTGAGCAGGATGACAACATAGAGTTTGCCGGGCGGGCGCCGCTGGGAGCTTCGTTGCACCTTGATGAAGAGGATCAGACTGGACAGAACCATGACAGGGGAGAATATCAGGACATTCAGAGCATAGACGTACAGGAAAGAAGTGAAACGCTTTTCACTCTTGAGATCTAGACAAGAAATGGCCACAGGACAGCAGAGCAGGGAGGAGAGAGCCCAGAGCAGGGCAGACACGGTGGCAGACAGGTGCCTTGGCCTGTGGCATCGGTGCCAGATGGGGTAGAGGACGGACACGCACCTCTCCGTGCTGATGGCCGTTAGGAGATACAGGCTGGTGCTGTACGTCCACACACACAGCACTGCAAACAGGGATAATATGACATCAAACTTTGCATTGTCACAAAACAGATATTCAACCGTGTAAGCGGCAAGATAGGCAAGCGAGGAGAGGAGTAAGCCAGTGTCGGCGACGGCCAGGTTGAGGACGTAGACGGTGAAGGGGTTCCTCTTCATGTGGAAGCCCAGGAACCAGAGGACGATCCCGTTCCCCACCAGCCCCAATATACTGATGATCACAGCAATGCTGCTAAAGGTCACTTCAGGGGCATCAGACTCTGGGCATTCAGTGTCGTTATGTTCATATTTGTGATATGAGACAGATGCTGTTGGTGGCAGGGTCTCTCTGCTCAGTTCAGCCATCTTGGAACCACTGCTGGAGGATGCTGGTGTCCCCCGCTGCCCCTCTCTCACACACTCCTGTGCTGTTGGGAGAGAGCAGATGGGGAAATTGGTGACTGACCTCCCAGCGCTGTGTTTTCACTGCTTCTTCTAGCCCTTCCTCAGCCTCCTGCCCTGGACCAGCAGAACCCAGTGGCTTTGGAGATGCTGGGGACAGAGAAAGACATGGAGAAAGGCCCAGAGATGGGGAGCAGCCTGGAGTGACAGCAAGTGGCAGAGAGAAAATTAAACCCAGGGAGAAAGCTGGACAGACAGACAGACAAAGAGAGAGAAGCAGAAATGGGACAGGATGTTGGCTGGCCATGGATTGCTGGAGTGACAGCAAGTGGCAGAGAGAAAATTAAACCCAGGGAGAAAGCTGGACAGACAGACAGACAAAGAGAGAGAAGCAGAAATGGGACAGGATGTTGGCTGGCCATGGATTGTCAGGAAACTGCATGCGGGGGAAGGAGGGAGAGACGAGAGTGGGAGAGAAAAAGAATAACCCTGTCTAATCAATCAGTGGTGACAATGAGCAGTGAATCCTTCCAGCCGTCCCTTACCTGCCTTCCTCCCAAACTGCGGGTATGTCTACACTACAAAGTTAATTCGAACTAACGAATTAACTTTCATACGCGCTACACTAGCGCTCCACTAGTTCAAACTTAATTCGAACTAGCGGAGCACTTAGTTCGAGCTAGGTAAACCTCATTTCACGAGGACTAACGCCTAGTTCGAACAAAGGGGCACGGGCTGGCTACACAGTTTGTGCCAGTTGCAAGGCTGCCAGCACCCGTGCCCGCAGACCCTGCACCTGCCACCCCATGAGCCAGCCACCCGATGCCCCCCAGCCCTCCCCCTCTTCCCAGGAGGGAGCCCAGGGGCTGTGCGCCTGGGCCTTGCCCACCACGGAGCAGCAGCTGGGTGTCATGCAGGGGCCCTGGCCTTGCAGAGGGGGGCTCGGTTTCACCCACCTGGGCCCCAGGGAGAATTGACCGCTGCTCTTGTTTCACCACAGCCGCAGCACCCGGGC